ATCTGCTTTTAAGCAATTACAAAGTGTACTTTGTTTTTACTCGTTCAAAAGTTGCATTATAGAATCCATAATGATCAAAGCTGCTTGTAGAGCTTTGCTTCAGTAAGTACTTATAAACACACAAATAATTATACTGCACTTGTGCTAAATTCAATAAGACCAGAATGTAAACATGCAAAGTTATCAATAGCGGATTTCATTCATAGCAATTCAATCTAAGGCAACTTTTTAGAGAAGAAAAGGTTTGAGAAGGTGACAGGACTGGGTTAGAGGAAAGAACTGTGTTCTCCATGAGACAGGAGGAGGATGGACATTCAAGGTAAAGGAACAGCACATGTGCTGTGATGGTTTGTTTTAATTTTTTTAAAGTTCGATATTGCTGAAGCAAAAAGTGTGGAAGTTCAGGAGAAAGGGATTGTATCTGGAAATATAGGCAAGAAATAGACAGTGATGGTCCTTGAATACCACAGCAGGGAGTTTGAACTTTATCTTCACAGCAGTGGTAGGTTAGGGAACATGATCAGCTTTGTATTTAAATAAGCTATTTATAATCAAGGTAGAGAATAAGTTGGAATAGACTGAAGACAGGGGCATTGATGAAAACTCTGTTATAGAATTCATGCCAGAGGTGAGACCCAATGTTGATAAAAGGATAGAGTGGAGAGAAGGGACATAGGTAGGATCTCATCTGGTCTCAAGTTCTGATATGGGCCTATCCACAGGGCTTAGTAAAAGGAAGCACTAACACACATTACAGACTTCAAAAAGTATTTATTATTGGGATAATGATATAGACTGCACAGACAATTTCACCCAGACATTCATGACTACTCAATCAGCATAACTCTCTTTTGATTACAATTCTACCACTTCTGGAATATGCAGCCAACATAGTGTTTCCACTAGAGTTTGCCTTTGTACTGCCTACTATAGACAAAGGATAAATGAGTCACCTACTTCCAGAAAATCATCCTTTCTATGTCTGTTTTCCATTATTGATCCAATTACAGTCTCACGTTTCTGGATTTGCTTTATTGGAGGACAGGGCCCACTATGAGGCCACGCTTTCTGATTGCCATCCTGTCCCCTTACATTCAGAGTCATACCTTCTCACCTGGCTGCTACTGGCTGTACCTTAGCCCATGCCCAGTTAAGCCATCCCTGGAACACCACCGTAGACTCAATCAACCCCTTGTGCTCAATTACTTCTCTTTGTCTTCTACTTACACTCTCCACCCTTCTCCATTCTACTTCATTTCGCTGTGAATCTCAAAATAAGTCCTGGAAATCCTGGGGCTCAGGGTTAAGGGGATGGATCGTTATTCTCCTGTATAACAGAAAACCTATAAAATTGATTTGTTAAGGGTTGGAGTTTAAAAATCCCCAGCTTCTGATGGGGTTGATAGCTCTCATTTCTTTCTCCATACAGATCTTGAGTAAACTGCAAACGCTGTGTTTAGAAGTTCTGAGTCCATGGTCACTTATCTACAACAGTTCTTAACGTTAGAGTACATAAAACCTGCCCGAGATTTCTAACACAAATTGCAAGTTCATGAGTTTCCCAAAACCACCCTCTGTTTTGATAATTCACGTAGAACAACTCACAGATCTCAGAAAAGTGTTATACTTATGATTACAGTTTTATTAAAGCAAAAGGATCTATCTATATAAAATATTATATATACGATATATAATATAGCTATATTTATCTATTTATATCAATAGAGATAGATAATCATCTCTGACTGGTTCTGCTTCTCTGGTTGAACCCTAACTGAAACACTGATGAAGTACCTATTTCTGAGAGAAAAAATGAGATCTCCCTATATTATTAAGGGCATCCAGTGTAATCAACCACTTACCAGCTGGTGACTGGACTTTCTGGGTACTAGATAAGGGGCCCAGAATAAGTCACTGCTTCTGGAAGTATCCAGGGGAGCACAGGTGAAGGGAGGTCTGTTTTGCTGAGCCCATCTCTGCCACCAGGGACCTCAGGTGAAGGGTGATGGAGGCTGAATAACCCCAGTAGAATGGATCAAGTGGGCAGTTGGTTACACATTTGGAATTGGGGGTTAGAGGTCTGGGCTGATGATTCAGGCATGCGAGACAAACTACACCAGCTCGTGAACATTTCAGAGCTGTAGCAAGTACTGAGTCAAATGACCAGAGACCAGGTTTAAAAAAAAACACAAACATTATATCTCTGGAGAGAGTAGGCAGGAGAGGGTAGATTGTAAAGCAGTCTTCAACTTCAGCACCTAAGTTATTTACTATTTCCTTTTTATCTTGATGTCACTTTGGCAAGGAAAGGGGAGGGAAGGTATGTTACAGGAGCACTTTTCTTCTTTCTGAAACAAGATGCATCTGGTTCATCTTGTACTTTCTCTGTCCCAGCCCTGAAATCAGTCCTGCTTCTTTTTAGTGGGGAATGGTATTTGGAGACCAAGATCTGGGTGCTAGCTATGGTTATTTCTCTTGGCATGTCAGTTTTTGGACTCTTTCAGTGTATATTCTTACTTGAATTCAAATTCAACACCACAAGATTCTTCCTTTCCTTTGCCTACACCATATTTGTGTCTTTCTTCTCCCACAGTGAGAAACCTGGTTCCTGAAGACATCAATATGTTTACTATTTTTCTCTATAGCACATTAAAAAATAGTTTCAGAATTACTACATGTATGCCACTACCAACAACAAAAATCTATGAAGTTCAAAAATTTATTTGCGGTTCTTTGTTTAAAGAATATATATATCCTTTTTTTACACAAAGGTTAACATACTATGTACATATTTTGCACCTTTTTTTTTTCTTGACGATTTACCTTGGAGATCTCTGTACACCACTTAATAGAGATCTTTCCCATTACAGTTGCTCCTCCACTTACAATGGGGTTATGTCTTCATAAACCTATCATAAGTTGGAAATATTGTAAGCCGAAAATGCATTTAATATACCTAACCTACCAAACATTATAGCTTAGCCTAGCCTACCTTAAAGGTGCTCAGAACACTTACATTTGCCTACGGTTAGGCAAAATCTTCTAACACAAAGTCTATTTTATAATAATAAAAAATGATTAAAAGATCAAAATTCAAAGTACCATTTCTACTGAATTTGTATTGGGTTCATGCCATTGTAAAATCGAAAAATGGTAAGCTGAACCATCTTAAGTCAGAGATGTCTTTTAAAAAAATTTTTATTAGCACATTTCTTGTTACAAATCATACTTATTCTTTATGCCCCTTAACCAATCTCTCCCTTTCCTCCTCTTCCTCCCTCCTCCTCTTCCCTTCCCCTTCCCTTTTTTCCCTCCCCCCTTTAATAACCATAGATTGTTCTCTCCATATGATAGATTAACTGTTCCTCTGCTGGTTTGTAACCTAGATGATCTGTCCAGTACTGAGACAGTTGTGATCAAGTAATCCCCTATTATCGTAAATCAGATGCTTCTTCCACTACTCTGGAGTCTGTCTGTGGAGAGAGAGGACCTCTTCTTTTTTTTTTTTGGTCTTCCTTGTGTCAATGAAGTTGAGAGTCTGGCATGCCATCTGCACGGTGGCTGTGACTGCTGCTATAGGTCTTCCTTGTGTCAATGAAGTTGAGAGTCTGGCGTGCCATCTGCACGGTGGCTGTGACTGCTGCTATAGAGACTAGCCGCTGTTGCGGCAGCCATGGCAGTTGCCGCGGTTATGGAGGGCTACCTGTGCGGAAATGGTGTTTTTGGTGTGCTCTTTACCTGGTTATGGCTGGGTTTGGCTTCCCCAGGCTCCAAGCCTCAGGTGGAACGTCTATTTTTACAACTGCAAATTACTCCGTTGCATGTAGGTATCATAGTTGGTCAACAACTTATGCATGGTATATTTGATGGTTCTCACAAATAAAGCTACACTGAATAAACGCGCCTGCTTGTTTTACTCATAGTGTCGGAGGCATATCTTCAGGGCAGACTCCTAGAAGTAGAATTGCTGGGTCAAAAGGTAAATGTGGGGCTGACTGGTTAGCTCAGTTGGTTAGAGCACTGTGCTATATAACACCAATGTCAAGGGTTTGGATCCCTGTACCGACCAGCCCCACTATGAATCAACCCCACTAAGATTATGAAATTTCTTGTGACCACTGTTTTGTTTCTCCCATAAATTCTTATATAAAACATTGTCTTCTTTCAGTTGAAAAATAAAAAAATTCTTATATAAAGTGTTGTCTACAGTTTTCTCTATCTCCCCATTTCATTCAATATTTGTTTAACAGAAAGATCTTTTTAAAAGATTTTCAGGCAGAAAGGGTTTTTAATTATGCTATTAATTTATAGATTTTTTTTTAGCACTGTTATCAGAGAAAATTGTTTAATCTGTCTTGGACAAGAGTCAATGTCTCCTATTATCGCTGTGCTTCTTTTTATTTCTCTTTACATCTACTATAGTTTCTCCTTTAGGAAGTTGGGTACTGTATTATTTAATGCACCGATATTCAAAACTGTTACGTAACCCTGTGAATTGCAGCTTTTAACCTTTTGGTCTGAACTATATCCTGCTTGATACCAGGACCTTAGTTCGCCTGAGCCCTCTTCTGAGCTTGGACTCTTCCCGGGTCTGGGTAGGTTCTGCGGGCCCTCGGGAGCCAGGCGTCCAGGCTCGGAGGACGATACGGAGCGGGCGCAGCGACAGGAAGCAGGCCCTGGGGCTGCTCGCTGTGCCCCTCTCTCCAGGTCCGCCTCCTGCTTCTACGAGAGCCCCTTCGCAGAGCATTCTGGGGCATGTAGTTTTCTTCCGAGCTCCATCCCTCTCCGTCGCATTGACACATGACGCACTTCCACGTGCGCCGCACCCCCGGCAGGCTGTAGTCGGGTGTGTGTGTGCGTGCGGGGCTGTTTCTCTTGGACTCAGTGGGGCGGACCGCGGCCAGGGGGTTGTGCTGTCTGCGTTTCTGCGGCCGCGGAGTTAACCCGGCCTGGGGCGTCCTGGGCGGAGCAGGATCGTGACCAGCTGCACCCCACGCTGGTCAGGGGCGTAGACGGAGGCAGGGCGGCATCGGTCCCCCGCGTCAGGGCCGCGGGACGGTACAGACGAGTCGCGCCGAAGCTACTGCCCAGGCCGGGAGGCCGCCTCCCTCCTCCGCAGCCCGGGGTTCTTGCACCCGCAGGCGGCTCGCACCATGCTGAGCGGGGGGATGGCCACCAGGTTCCGGACAGCCTCCTGTTGGGTAAGTAGGAACTTTGACTTTTTAAAAGCTGACTGGACACTGGCCGCGTTCATCTCTTCGCGGTCGCACCCAGGACCTCAACTCACGTGTTCCCCGCCCCCCAGCCTCCAGGAACGTTCCTTCTGGAATTTTGTGTCCAGTGTCCTGTCCTTCGGCAGCTATACTTCACTGCCAGCTGCGGGCCGTGAACTCTGAGGGTCCTTGTTAAGGAGATGGTCCTCTCTCATGTCATGTTTCCCACACACGGGTTGTCGTCTTGTGCAGACTCTTAGAAATTCCCCCTTTTCGTTTGTCCAAATGCACATTTACTGAGTGTCTTTTTGTGTGCTGTACTCTGGGGTGCTGGCAGTGCAAAGATAAGCTATGTATATTCCTTGTTTTAAAGGAGCTGTGATCTGGTAAGGAGGGTAATCAAGTGAGCAGCGGGTACAATTACAGATCAGTGTGTCGAGAGAAGGGTTTGAGGGTACAAAGGAGGGAGAATTTTGGTGGTGGGGGGCGGGCCAGTGGATTACCTGGACATTGCAAATAACTGATGGAGTGAATGAGAGGGGAGACTTCACATTGATTTGATTGCCCCACCCGTTGCACTCGGTGGGTGGTGGTGAAGTTTCCTGAGACTAAGAACACTAGTAGAAGTGGATCCCGTGAAAGGCTTTATGAGGTGTTGAATAGCAGTGCCTGATCTAAACTGGAAATATACAGATTTAAGGCACGTGTGTTCGCGGAAGCTCAGAGTGTGACCGACTAGAGCCCTGAAGAGCCAAGGAGGACTCAGGGTAATGACAAGGAAAAGGCGCCTGGTGAAGAAGGGCTGGAGTGCAAGACAAGTTATAAGAAAAGAGGAGTGGTTTTTTTTCTCCCCGGAAGTTTGAGAAAAGAGAACTTCATATAGGTCATGATATGAAATGCTTCGAAGAAGTATTTCACGAGGCAAAAAGGTGTCTGTTGGATTTGGGAGTTTATAGGTTTTAGGCAGTTTTTCTAGAGCAGAGATAGTTTGGGGGATAGTTCAGATGGTGGCTTCCTGACAGAGTTAAAGGAGTGCGGCAAAATGAATTGCATGAGGGTGTGGACAAGTGTAAGGAAATGGTTAGGAATAGGATTTTAAGGTCAAGTGAAAGGAAGAATTAGGGTTCCAGGGAGGAAGTATTTCAGTGAGCAATGTACTTTACCCCGAACTACATCATCTTTTTTCTAAATACATGCATCATTTCTAAACGATAACTATGTAGAGAATACAATGAGAGAAAATAATTCTACTTACAATAGAAATAAAAAAAAAATAAGTGAACTTGCCTTGAGTAATATTAATAGCTACCACTGTTGACTGGGCACTCTTTTAAGCACGCTGTATGTGTGACATCGTTCAAGTCTCATGACCATCTGAGGCAGGTATTATGTCCCCATTTTACAGGTGAGGAAACTGGGAACTTGCCCTTGGTCCCAAACTAAGGCATACCAGGAGACTAGGATGGCAGAGCTAGATTCAATCCCAGGCAGTTCATCTTCAGAGTTTGTGCTCTTATTGCCTCTTAAGGCCTAAAAGACATTTTAAGAAATGTTGTAAACAGTACTTCCTTGTTTTTGAGTGCATGTATTAATTTAACAAACATTTATTGACTGTTATGCCAGGTAATTTTCCAAGGCATGCAGGGGTGAACAAGATTGACAGGGTTCATGACCCAATGGGGGGCAACAGTCAAATGTCAGAAGGGCATCATAAACAAAAAAAGTTGTGAATGTTATGCACATGAAAGAGAGTGGCCGGGTGGCTGTTTTAGACTGCCTGTCAGGAAACCCTCTCTGGAGGCAGTTTGAATGACAACATGGTGTGGTTAATTCAATATTTAAAACAGTTTGTTTTTATATAAATGGTATCATACTGTGTGTAATTGTTATGCAGGTTGCAAATATGTCTCTATAGAATGAATGTATCATATTCTTGTTTACTTATTCCCGTATTGGTGGAAACTTATGTTCAGTTTGTCACTATTACATACTTTGAAACAGTGATCAGCTCTGCACATTTATGATATTTCTTATTAATTTTTTAAATAACTTTTTTTAGAGTAGTATTTGGTTCCAAGCAAAATGGAGAGGAATATACAGAAATATCCCTTGTATCATCAGCTCACACACATGCATAGCCTCCCCCTTTTATCTGCATCCCCCACCAGATTAGCACATTTGTTGCACTTGATGAACCTACACTCACATATCGTTATCACCTAGATTCTATAATTTACATTAGAATTCACTTTTGGTGGTGTACATTCTATGGGTTTAGACAAATGTATAATGACATATATCCAGCATTGTAGTATCATGCAGAATAGTTTTATTGCCCTAAATCCTCTGTGTTCTGTCCGTTCATCCCTTCTTAACTCCTGGCAACCACTGATTTATTTTAACTGTCATCATAGTTTTTCTTTCTCTACAATGTCAGAGTTGTAATTTTTAGTATGTAGCCTTTTCAGAGTGGCTTTCTTTTACTTAGTAATATGCATTACAGTTTCCTCCATGTCTTTTCATGCCTTCATAGTTCCTTTATTTCTAGCACTGACTAAAATTCCATTATTTGGTTGTGCCACAGTTTATTTATCCATTCTCTAAACAGCATCTTGGTTGCTTCCAAGTTTTGACAATCATGAATAAAGCCGCTATAAACATCCATGTACAGGTTTTTGTGAGGAACTGTTTTCAACTCCTTTGAGTAAAAGGCAACGAGTGTGATTGCTGGATCTCATGGTAGGAGTATGTTTAGTTTTGTAAAAAAAACCTGCCAAACTGTCTTTTGACATGCCTCCACCATTTTGTATTCCCACCAGCAATGAATTTGTTCAATGATTTGTTCCTGTTGCTCCACAGCCTTGCTGGCATTTGTTGGTGTCATTGTTCTGGATATTGGCCATTTTAAATTTTAATGAAGTCCGGCTTATCATTTCTTTCATGGTTCATGCCTTTGGTGTCATATCTAAAAAGTCATTGCCAAACCCAAGGTCATTTAGATTTTCTCCTATGTTATCTTCTAGAAGTTTTGTAGTTTTGCATTTTACATTTAGGTCTGTGATCCATTTTGAGTTAATTTTTGTGAAAGGTATAAGGTTTCTGTCTAGATTCATTTTTTTTTTTTTTTGCATGTAGATATCCAGTTGTTGTAGCACCATTTGTTGAAAAGACTCTTTTCTCCATTGTATTGCTTTGGCTTGTCAAAGATTAATTAACTGTGTTTAAGGGGGTTTATTTCTGGCGTCTCTGTTCTTTTCCATTTATTTATTGGTTCTTTTCACCAGTACCACACTGGCTTGATTACTGTTGGTTTATAGAAAGTCTCAAAGTCAGATAGTGTCAGTCCTCCAACTTTATTCATCTCCTTCAATATTGTGTTGACTATTCTGAGTCTTATTTATGGGGGTTTATTTCTGGCGTCTCTGTTCTTTTCCATTTATTTATTGGTTCTTTTCACCAGTACCACACTGGCTTGATTACTATTGGTTTATAGAAAGTCTCAAAGTCAAATAGTGTCAGTCCTCCAACTTTATTCATCTCCTTCAATATTGTGTTGACTATTCTGAGTCTTTTGCCTTTCCTCATAATCTTTAGAATCAGTTTGTTGATATCTACAAAATAACTTGCTGAGATTTTTTTTTTTTCCTTTTTGTCTTTTTTCGTGACCGGCAACGGATCGCAACCCTCAGTGTC